TCATAGCGTTCACCATCGTCAAACCAACAACCTGCCGACAACGTGCAATGGGCATAACAGAGAGGAAGTCAATGGGAGTAGTCCTGACAAGGAAGAGATGGTCTGATGAACTGATATAGATGACTGCAGAGCTTGCCGCAGTGCCCCAGAATGTACGACACTGAACAGTGTTAGCAGCATTGGTGTGCGAATGACATACTCCGCGACGATGTGGGACGAGTGAAGGAGGGAGGAGTGGGGATGTAGCACCCCTCCTAGGTATAGTATGTCAGGCTGCCACAAGGGGGTACTGTAGACTTTCCAACAAAGTGATGAAGTACCCCTCTTGGGTATAGGATGTCAGGCTGCCACAAGGGGGTACTGTAGACTTTCCTAATCGTGATGAAGTACCCCTCCTACGTATAGTATGTCAGGCTGCCAGGAGGGGGTACTGTAGTCTGTTTGGGGTATGACGACCACCCATGTGACAACCGATGTTCTCTGACAAAGGAGGGTGGGGGGGTGGTGGATTGAGGAGAGGTGGGGGTAATGGGGGGTAGTGAGAGTGAAGTGGAGGGGTAGTCGAATACAAGAATACTTTTGGTACCGTAATCCTAAAAAGGTTGTTAACAATTATTAATTGGTACCAGAGAGTACCCACCCCCTCTAGATGTCTTTGCCTTGTTTGGACCGGTTAAGGCAGAGGAGAATATGCTTTAAAATAGATAAGATTTTAATCTGTCACCCAAGATTTCGGGCGCGTTTCTGTCGAATACCCCTTGTCTCCGCATTATATAACGGGTGTATCGAAGTTTTTCACACACCACCACTAGCATCAGGTACCGGTGCTTGCGGCAGCTCTCTATGAAAAGATGATACAGGGGTGGTACTCGCAGCCTAGAGGGGGTAGTGCTTTCCCTCTCAGAGCCTAAACCAGGTAGGTAGTCTCCGCATAATATAACGGGTGTATCGTTTTTCACACACCACCACTAGCATCAGGTACCGGTGCTTGCGGCAGCTCTCTATGAAAAGATGATACAGGGGTGGTACTCGTAGCCTAGAGGGGGTAGTGCTTTCCCTCTCAGAGATAGGTTGTCTCCGCATAATATAGCGGGTATATAGGGGTGGCTACAGTAGGCAATATAAACTCAACTCAAAGAGGCTTCTGGCAGAACATTCGAATATGTTGAAAATGTTGGGGAGAGGAATGAGTTTCAGCATGCAGAAAAGAAGAGGAAGACTAGGAGGAGATAAGCAGCTGGTCTACAGTGTTGGTTGGGACAGGTCACGGCAGATCACGCTGTCAAGACCCCTCAGCATGTCCCCAACAGGATCAGCAAGCTGGTGGCCGTGGCAGTCAAGCATAATTGCCCACAAGGATGAAGTCATTGCCCTGAAGGATAAACTCATTGCAGAAAAGGAAACACAGCTGAAAGATCTCAAGACTCGCGAGGATAAACTCATTGCAGAAAAGGAAACGCAGCTGAAAGATCTCAAGACTCGCGAGGATAAACTCATTGCAGAAAAGGATAAACTCATTGCAGAAAAGGATAAATTCATTCAAGAAAAGGATATACGCATTGCAGAAAAGGAAACACAGCTGAAAGATCTCAAGAGCCAATTGCTGCAACAGGAGATGCAAAGTCTCCAAGAATTATCGCGGGTCAAGGTCATAGCCAACAACCGAGCTCTGATTGAGAACGCCATGCAACAGTACAAGAGCGACTTGTCTCTCACGAAAGGTTTGGAGATGTTTGTGAACGAGCATTTGTTGACTGTAGGCCGTGACAAAACGACATTGAGTATGTATGGCAGAGAAGTCTGTAATAAGCTGCGAAACTTTGGCTTCGCAGCGAAGGAAGACTTTGTTCAGAAAGAACTTAAAAACCTCATGCACGAGATCTCAAAACCTTTACACAGACCGCACGTATCGGGTAAGATTTACACAGGGTATGTGGTTGGAGGGGAACCGCCGCTTGCAGAAGCGCTTGCGATCGTGATCTCAAAACTTCAAGAATGCAAGTTCGTGAAAAACCTGGATGTCCTGCTGGTCGATGGGGAAGGGAAATGCAAGTGCGTGCTGAGTAATGGAGACATCGTTGAATACGGTGAAGCGTAGTCTACGATCTACATGTCGTTATCAACGTGATGTATTGCTTTCTGCCAGTGAATGAGCCGGTTCCTCCCCTTTGAGAAGCCGACGCAGCCTCTTCGGGATTTTTTTGCATATAAACGAAAACAAAGAAGCGTATCCTTGATAGCAACGAGTTCCCTGTCCGTCGTGTCATGATTGCGCTCGGTAGCAGTCAACAGCCTGCTGTAGTATCCAACGTCGCGAGGGTCGTCTGGTCGAAGAACTGAAAACATGCTCATCATGCCATAGACGAAGAGAGATGATCGGACCAGCATTCGAAAGTGCCATGGCCCTGCCAGTGTGTCTACTATGTCACAGTGTGCACATCTTGTGTTGCCAAGTTGCTAGGTTCAAAAACCACAAGACTCGCAATGATCTTGAGCAGCTGTTCTTGCTCTCTAAACCGCTAAAAGGTGGCACACTACCACTCGTAGCCTAGAGGGGGTAGTAGGTAGTCTCCGCATAATATAACGGGTGTATCGTTTTTCACACACTACCACTAGCATCAGGTACCGGTTACGGCAGCTCTCTATGAAAACGTGATATAGGGGTGGTACTCGTAGCCTAGAGGGGGTAGTGCTTTCCCTCTCAGAGGTAGCCTTCATGTAGAGTTCTCATGAACAGCACACCCATGAACTGAAGCCATTCATGTACAGTGAACGGTTTCACATTTGCTGGCAAAGAATTGTTCGTCCAGAGCAAACAACATCCAGTTTCGTCGCAATCTCCGAAAAAATACTTCCACGGAAGCAGAAATTTCCAGCAATCAAATGGAGTTTTCTCGTCAAGGATCTGCAGAGCTGGTGTCCAGCGAATCACAGTTTTGCGCATTGCAAATCCACTTGACAGTCGTTGATCTTCTGCAACACCAGTCGGTGATAACTGCCAAACGAGGACATTTTCTCCAAAATTGCAATTGATGGTCATAGGCGAAGAGGAATCATTTTCATGGTTTGATTCCCCTTGCATAGGGACAGGGTCATGATGAGACACCACTACATCATTAGAGCCAGCGTCATCGGACGCGGCTACATCGCGGGCAGCGGAAACATTGGCACGGTAGAATTTTGCAAATTTGGCATTTCCCCAGGCAACAATGTGGATCGTAAGGTACTCTCCAAGACGCTAATTTTCATTCTTTCACCAGGCAAGTACCAATCAACCATCCATCTACCATTCCCACACTTCGCTATCACCTTTCCAGTTATCGCGACGGAGTTCCAATCGCATCTATGCACGCCCATGAGAATGCTCTTTGCAGGCCTGAAACGGCCAAACATCTTACTTTTCACAGTTATCTCCTGTCCTATCTCGACAACGGGTTGGTCGTTTGCAACGCGAATTTCAGCGTTGGAAAGTTCTTCCTCCCCTCTTCCTTCCCCTGCCATTTTCCCCGCCTTTATCTGCGCCTTTATGCCCTTCCAAGGGGGCTGTATGAGGGCTCGAAAAAGGGACTCCCCGGGGAGTCCGGGATTCCCAGGGGAGGCCTTTGTCGATTAAAGGTTAACTTAAGTCATCTACTACCATTGCCCATTCGCCCCCCTTCATCTACTACCATTGCCCATTCGCATGCGAGAGCCGGCAACGGCACGTCGGCGGAGCGTCGGAACAGCAGCGGCGAATGGCATACAGTCTCGACGAGATGCTGATGATCGACAAAGCTTTTCTGACTTAGAAGGATCTCCGTTATCTGCACCTGAATCTTTGTATGAACCGCTCTGCTTGGAAATCCAACCAGCTCGAGAACAATCTCGTTTTGCAAACAAAATGGTCTGGTACAATAAATTCCAGAAGGGACTTGGAACGGAATGGTGCGTCATCCAGGTCACTGAGGTCCATATATCGCAGCACTCCACCATCAACCAGGGCCTGATGCACCAGCAGAAAGGAAGCCAGTAGGAGGGCCAGATCCGGCTCGTCCGCTTGACGGAGGGTACCATCCAGCCGAGAGAACAGAGGAGGGGTCGAGAATTTCCAGGTTTGCACACAAGGTAGGGTAGCGCTCCATTGTAAGAAGCTGGCCGGGGCGATGTAATAGGCGGTTTTGGACATAGAGCACCCAACCTACCTAATGTGAAGTTTTCATGGCTCTTGGCGCAAAAATGCGACGGTGGAGCAAGGTGCTTCCGAATGGCGGAGCAAGGTGCTTCTAATGCCGATGTTGAACGCAATGTGCTGATAAGAGCTCGGCAAGAATAACTTCATTACAGAAACCATCGCTTGACATCCATCACCAATGCACATCATCGACCATGTAACGTCAGGCAAACATACTTTGAAATATACCAATTGGGAAATGTTTGTGTTGAATATGTAAAGTTGAATCTTCAGGATTACAGAAAAAGCTCGAATAATGGTTGAAACAGAATCTTGGTTGTGTAGTCATGAGTGTCTAAGAGATCTGTTGCTGACCCACCAACCAGCATGGAAAAAATGCTCGCTTCTGGATCAAAATACCTGTGATCCGACTCGATTGAAAGGCTCCGACGAGTCTAATTCGGCTCTCCGCTTCCTTGACTCGGACAGAGCTCACCACGCCCGTGGAGGCGTCGCTAGACTCCGGACTCCTGAGTCGTGCTCCACCTTGCAGCTCGGAAGGCTGCACTCTCCCGGGTGGCATAGGTATTTAGCGCCGGCGCGCAGCTCCCGACGAGCACCATTACAAAAGCGATGGTCCGTGGAAACGTGAGGACGAGAACGGAACAAGCCATTTTCTTGTACAGGTGAGGTGATGAGCGTATTCGTATCTGGTGGCTACACCATTCCCGCATTGGTTTACAATGATTGACAACATTGCACAGTGAAGATGCTGAAATTTGATACATTGCTCACTTGCACGAGCATAACCCAATCTCTACTGGTGCATTCACCAACACGGGCACCATGGTCATCCTATCCTGCTGCTCCATCCTTGTGCTCTAGGGTCCATCCCAACCACACATGCTTTGCTCGCTTCCTCTCCGGCTCTCCAACCATACCTCGCGAGCGCGCCTTCCTCGACCACCTCGCTCAGACTGAACTTTGCAAGATTGTCCTTTGTGACGACGAAAACAATCTCCATCTTCCATTGATCCCATCTTTCGATGCTCAAGGCATCCATGCAGTCTGCAAAGTACTGCAATTTCAGGTCATGCTTGCTTGCCGCTGTCACCTGCACAAAGCGCACTATCCTCTCCCTTAGATCTACAATCACAGCGTCGTAGCCGCCCTGATTCCAAGCTATTGGCTTCAGGCATACACTCCTCTCGATTCCAGACGTATAGAGTTGTGTTGGGTCAAACGTCTTCACAGCATAGCTCTCCCAATGGACTTCTTCTCCTGTCCTACTGGTCACACGTAGCCCTTGCTCGTTTCCTATCCGAGCAAAGAATAGCATCTCAAACAACACACCACGAAGTATCGGATTCTCAGCGATCCCCACCAACTGCTCGATCTTTCTCACAAAAGCTTCTCCAAGCCTCTGTGCTAGCTCTGTGGCGACAAACCTGCTGAGAAGCCCCCAGTGCACATTGTCTCCAACACGATACATTGCATGCAGCCGATTCACCATCCGCTTTGCTCGGTCTCCCGTTTTCGAATCCATCAGCGTTTCAAAATTATCCACAGAAGCCATCGCGAAATGCAGTTGTTCAATCGCCTCTGCTGTCGTGTATTGGAACATGTACCGACATGAGCCTCCAACAATCTGATATTTGGACTCAACCTCTCTCGCTCTTCTCTCCTGTTCGGTCTCCTGCTTCCTCATCGTATTCCTCGTTCCCAAGCTCGTTCCCACCATGTTAGCTACATTTTTGTACAGAAGGTCGTGCTTGACGGCTTCCTTGTACTCCTCAAGCATCCACGAGTATACTTTCATTTCCTTGATCCTTTCTATCATATCTTGCTCAGAATACACCTTTATTCGAGCACCCATCGAAGTCGTAACGACAAGCCGTCGATTCTCCATGTCACGACGGCGCCATAGCATGCAGACGCTGAGCAAATTATCATGTTCTGGATTCCCCTCCAGGTAACCGTCCAAGGACAGAAGGTACTTTTCGCTGACCCCTCCCCATCCTTCAAGGAAGTCCTCTATCTCGTCCCCTGCTCTCTTCAGAGAAAAGTCGCACCTTCTTTCTTTCCCGTCAACCACCTGTATCAGGCTGACAGGACCCGCCTTCCAGAGTCGTACGCACATCACCCTCCATCTCGCTTCCATGCTTTGCCATAGCAGGAAACATGTCGTCGTCGTCGTCTTCCCTGTCCCCGGAGGGCCTAGGATCCAACCCAAATATCCTTCCTTGCACACCTTCTCCTCAAGGAAACGCCATTGCTCATTGAAGCTTTCCCTGCAGTAGAGCATCAGCTGCCCTGCTGGCCCAGGATTTGAATTCAGCAATGCTCGATCGATGGTGAAAATTTTGCGATCCTCACTGTATCCTGCTTGACTAAGATCCAGCATTGTCTCTGACCAGGAAAGGCTCTTTTTTTTCTCATTCACATTATCTCGAAGTTGCCTCATTTCCTTTCGAAGTTGCTTGTTTTCCTTTCGAAGGTACTTTATTTCCTGCGTTATTTTCTTGATGAACTTCTTGTTGGTCCCCTTGTCATGAAGTTGCGATACCTGCTTCTTCAAGTCCTTGTGTTTTTCTGCCTCAACGTTCCTGATCTCTGGTTCTACTGCAACTGGCTTCTTCTCTACCTTCTCCGTTCTTGCCTCAACGTTCCTGATCTCTGGTTCTACTTTAACTATCTTCTTCTCTACCTTCTCCCGTTCTCTCTTCATCTTGTCCTGTTCTAGCCACAGCCTTGCATCTACCTCCTCTCTATTCATGTCATGGAGGTCTTTGCCTATCCGCAGGGTCTGGTTTGCATCTCCTATTCCACCGCCTCGAATCACCATTGGCGCCACGTGAGATGAGAAACTGCCAGCAACATGTACAAGGACCACACAACCGCTTGCTATCAGAAGATGCAGCCCTGAACCATGCTTTGATCAACAACAACAATACCGATTACACAAAACAAACCATAGACACCCATGAGAGCATTCGCCATGCACCTGCTAACGACATGTTATAGATGCTCGCCGGCGAGAAGAGATGAGGTGTGAGGAGAAACAAATATCAAGATATGACATACTAACATGATAAGGGTTTCAAGAGCAGGTATCAGCAGCTGAGCAGAAGGGCTCGTGGAATCTGGCAGGCTGTTGAAGGGGGCAAACAAGGAGAAGAGAATAAACCCTACAAACCCGCCTCAGCTAAATACTAGGAAACAGAAAAGGCAGCAAAAACCGCTATACTAACCACGCAAGGGACGGTGCAGGCAAGAGAAGCTCCATTGAGATTCGGCGATGCGGAGATACAGGATATCAGCGGCGGCCGATTGCTGGGTGAGAGCAGATACGCGGCTTAAACAAGCATTCTAGGGCACCATGGCTCCGCGCCAGGTGTAGGAGAATGGTATAGTTCAAACAGCTTTCTAAGTATGGCTCGTCAGTATGATGAAAGTGTTCGCAACATGCTGTACGGTCCTCGAAGCTGATCTGGTCGAGAGGGTGAAGAGCTTCGCGAAGCGTTTTCCTAACAGTAGGACAGCCCAGGCTTGCAAGGCTGTGGAGGGATGCACCCCCGACGCTATCGCAGAAGCCATCCGCTCGACATGTCAGCAGGCACGACGTGAGCTTCTACAAGAAGCATTGACTGGATGGAGTGACGCGTCCAGAGAGTGGTTTATGCAGCAGATGGAGGAAGCCAAGAAGGAGAAGGTCGAGACATACACCGCCACAGCAGGCAACGAGATGACTTCGTTCATCTCCATGACTCTCCTGGGTCTCTCTTCGGTGTATGTCAACCATGAAGACTCTGAGAAGATGAAGAAGAAATTCGAAGAGATCGGACTGATCGTAGACTCAGTGCAAGAGAGTAAATCGATCATGTGGAAGGCTCCGTATAGACCCGAGATAGCGAGTGCTGATGAGATCCCGGTGACTGTTTCCTTCCTCTGCAATGCACTAGCGGAGAAGCTCTGGCAGGGAAGAGAGGACTTCCAGATCGATGGTCGCAAGCTCACAGCCGTCTCCAGCCACTGCTCCCCCTCGCTCTCCTCCTGCCGCTGAGTGTCGCCAGCAGCCACCGCCTCAGGCTCCATGTCGAAGCTGACTGCTTCGAGCTTGATTGCTGCGCCTTCTAAAGACAAGGGCAGCTCCTTCATCATGCGTCGAGCATCCTCCGTGGAGTCAAGGAAGATGCATAGCTTGGACCCGTTCCATGACTTGGTATTTGAGTCCTCCTCCATGTCGATGCCTTCAACTTTGATGTCAAGCCTGTTTGCGATCTCCAACAAGACTCTCTCCGCTCTTGCGATGGACGTGTTGCCGCCGTTGCACAGCCCCTCCATCTCCTTCCTCGTGAAGCGACCAGTAGCCGCCGTCGACTTGATGATGATCTTGATCTCCTTGTCGTCTCTGCGGCCTGCCTTCTTCTTCTGTGTCCTTGCTGCCTTCTTCAACTTGTTTCTGGACACGAAGCTATCAGCTGTCAGCTCGACTGCGAGCCGGCGCCTCCCTGATCTTCGGGTCCTCGCTGAATAGAGTCAGGTGTACTCCCTTCATCGCTTCGCTCTCTCGGAAAGCTCGGAATGCTCAGGTATCGCTTGCCTCTGGGCAGCTCGAGGAGATGATCTACTCGACCTCTCACGAAGCCTTTCTGACCTAGATCTTTGTGGACTTGCTCGCTTGTTCACATGTACGGCCGTGAGCTTGCGACCATCGATCTGGAAGTTTTTTTCCCTGCCAGAGCTTCTCCGCTAGTGCATTGCAGAGGAAGGAAACAGTCACCGGGATCTCATCAGCACTCGCTATCTCGGATCTATACGGAGCCTTCCACATGATCGATTTACTCTCTTGCACTGAGTCTACGATCAGTCCGATCTCTTCGAATTTCTTCTTCATCTTCTCCTCTTGGTTGACATACACCGAAGAGAGACCCAGGAGAGTCATGGAGATGAAGGAAGTCACCTGCTTCTTGGCTTCCTCCATCTGCTGCATAAACCGGATGATTTTCTGGATGCGTCACTCCATCCTTAAGCCCTACTTTCCTCCTCCACGTCCTCACTTGCTCCTTCATCTCACTCCCCCATCATACCGGGCTGCTTCACATCGAAATCGACCCTGGCTCCGAACACAAACCAAATGGGCAAGATCAGAAGTCTTGAGGGACAGGCTTGCTGACATTTCTATCACGGTTTTTGCGAATTACAGGCGGTGTCTTGATTGAAGAGAGCTCAGGGAACGATGGGCTAACATTCCATTTTGTGTTCTTCCGATTTATCTCAGATGGGGGGCGAGTTGGGCTTGATAGCGAGTAAGTGAGGACGATAGGGACGATAGGGACTAAAATCAATCTTGCTTTTGTCTGATATGTCTAGCTGAATAATGGGCCAAATCCGGAATGTGCTGTGTAAGAATCGACATCATCCCATATTCGACGCAAGTTCATCATGTTCCCAACAGTCGGTTGGTATTGGTCTTGTTTGTGGTTCAGTGCTCCACGGCTAAAGGATGGACCTCCTACGAAAAGGTTCGCGATGCTTTGAACGGGTTTCGCTAGTGTCTTACCTATCAAACATGAGCTGAAATTGAAATGTAGCATTTCTGAAAATGTGCCTAGCGGGTGCAGATATGTAATGTGATACGAAAATATGGCGTATTCTTCATGATATGCCACATGCAGAAGAATTATGCAAGACTGTTGGAATATTCCGTGATGTACTATTGATGAGCAGTAGCGTCCGGGACATCATCAGCATTCGCTATCTCGGATCTATATCTCTTTCAGTTCGCGATCGCTGGCTCGAGCATCATTCATGCCGTCCTCCATTTCCCCTTCTTTGCATCCCTGTGCAGCTGTATCAACCCTGACTTTTACTACGAGCATGTTTAGAGTACTAACTGTTTTGTTGTTCAATTTGCAGTCAGCAACCCAGTGTAGAAAAGTGACTGGCGTTAATTTCTCAAAGCAAATAGGTTGTACCATCTTTTGCAACAATACACTCTGATGTAAGTTGTACATGATATTATTAAACTTTGTTGGAATCAGAGGCTAATCCTAGTCATTCGCGTACCAAAATATGCATCTGCCAAGTCATTACAGACAAATTGCTCTCTTCAATGCGTAATACTCTCCTTCTCAAGCTATCCCTGCAACGCACTGTATCCTCCAACGAGGAGAGTAAGGATGACATGTCATGAAGTAAAGCTTCCGGAATCAAGAGAAGCTGTCCATGTCTGCAGGACTCTTGTCTTCAGAGAAAAGAGTTCGTCGGGTGGGCGATGACCTGTTGGAGGTCTTCACGTCAGGCTCAGGCTAGGATGGCGAGGTTCATAACCTTGGAAGGCATTTCGAGGCAGACAGAAGAGGAGTCGGCGTCTTGGGCAGCTTGTCTGGTACAACCCCCTGCAAGTCATCAGAACCAGCCCCTCCTGGTTCTCTCTTCCTCCTCCTCTCACAATGCGCTTAATGCTATCCTTGGGTGTTCGTGGGACGGTGGCAAGGGAGTCCAAGGAAGGGGATCGAAAGCTTTTTGAAGCTGCAGGAGATTGACTACCTGAGAGAGTGAAAACTTTCAGCTCCTCCTCTTTCAATCTTCTCACACAACCACTCAAAGATGCTTCAAGATCGCTGGGTCTACTTGAGGCAGTTCGTGATTTTGTCAAGTCCTTGAAAGATTTTTCATCGTTCTTCGAGTCCATCGTTTTCCCGTCAACAAAGTTGAGCACCTGCGAAGCATTCAATCGATCAACAACTACGGCTATCCCCGACCTCCATGGCTGTTTTGTACGCTCCTGTCTGTGCCACAGCTGCGGCTGAAACCAAATGTTCACAGACTGTGGCGTCGGCATTAACTCCTGAAAGAGCAACAAGTCAAATAAATTTGCGCTTTTGTTTATTCTCTACCTGTCGACTGCATCTGTTTGAGTAGGGAAATTCCCAAGGAGATGGTAGTCGGAGCTCTCGAGCACTCCATCTAGCAAACTATTAGACTCCACGCAACAGAGTTTGATTGTGCCTCCGCTGATGTCATCAAGGCATTGTACACTTCATTGTCGATGGGTATGCTTCTAATCAAAACGAATGAATGAAATGCTGAGTTGCAAGTATAGACCTTGACTGAAGAATGGTGACAATGTCCATGGCAGTAGCCACCCCTTCCAAAAGGTATCAAACTAATCAAGAATTTCCTGCATCATACCGGATATTCTAGCCCCCACCGCACAGAATTCAAGAACTCGTTTTGCAAAGTATTCCAACTGATTGTCTTCAACCTTCCACTTAGCAACCTGAGCAACCGGATGAAAGCAGGTCGGTGCAGATGCTCAGACCTTGACTCGTTTGAGAAGTTGAATGCATCTCGAGACTCCTTCGTTCGCCACCAATCCAGAGTTGCAACTCGTCTTTGTAAATATGTTAGAGAATTTTTCAAAAGTTTGGAGCAGCTATCATACAGATATCAACGAACAAATCGCCTGATCTGACGGCTTCAACCCCGCATCAGCCATTGTTTGAAAGACCTAAATCGACTTCACATCGCACATACCCCTGGGCAAAAGCTCCTTCAACCTCAATACCAAGTCGAAAAATTCCTTCTTGGGTCTCAGATCCCTCAAGGTCATCCAAGAACCCAACCGATTTCACGCCCGCGCACTCCTTCAAGATGGTCTCGATCGCCCTAGGAAGCCAGGTCAGCGTGGCGACAAGCCAACAGCTCGCATACAAAGAAACAGCGCGATGAAGTTGCTGAGGACTCAACGATTCCACAACCTTGACGCCTTCCAGCACAACCTCACTCGCAACACCTACTGAGCTTGATCTGGCCGCTGAGGAGGAGTTGTGTGGACGTTGATGACCAACTGGGAGAAAAGTTATCGAGATCAACGATTGCAAAAAGACATCAGAAACCTTTCTTTGACAAAACGTAGTACGGATCTTTTGTTCGCGTCTAGAGCATGGCCTATCACTGAATTGTGGGGCAGAAAAATTCTCACGTTCAACTCAAAAGAGTTTTCAGCAGCTGATGAGATCGCGCATAGAATTTCACTGCCTACGAAAGCAGCAACATCAGCACGGGAAGATCAAGTCTCGGCCAAAGCACCGCTTGAAATTTCTGAGGTCTGCAAAACATTTCTCTGCAAGATCTAAAGAAAGCAAGTGTAAAGGAAAAAACATTGCTATTCAAGTCTGTGGTGACCTTATAGCCATAGAAAAGGCATCCTTCACCTGTTCTATCTCAGGCATAGCACAAACATATCGTTTTAGCTTACCATTCGCGGAATGATAAGCGGCATCCATGACGTCAAGAACAGCTTTTGCATCTGTCATATGATCAGCACTCACAGCCTCGGCTGCTGGCAATGCACCATATTTGACGTCATGCAAGCGTAGGTACTGCATCACCGACAGCGCCTTGCTTAAGGATCCGCCTTTGCCCCCAGCATGAGCGCAAAGGCGGATGATTTCTGATTGAACACGAAGATTTGCCTTTGTCAAGAGATTCATCAATCGTACACTTGAGGTAAAGTGATGGCGAAATCTCACAGGATTACTGCTTGATTGCATGATGTCCAGGATGCCATTCAAGATCTGCAAATCGACTTACCGATAGATCTACTTTAACGTCATCGTCGACAGACCTTAAACACTCCACTCCCTCGCGCTGCTTCCGAACATCCATGCAAATACGCCTCGATAGATTCTGATTGTAACTGCAACAAGCTTGTGACAACCAAGAAAAGCATTTTGCTGCTCGTCAAACAATTTTATCGAGAAACATATAGTACCGTAATTTCTTCTTCGATCATCATGCGAATCAGTTTATCACCAAGGCTGATTGCCCCATGTTCATGTGCAATAACCTGAAAGTCAGAATGAAAATGTCGCAAGCTCTAAGGCAAACTTTCGCGACCTCAGCGCTGGACTTGACAACCATATCAAAAGGAAGCTGAGTCAGATCGATTCCTTCTTCAACCGCAGATTTGATGAGCTGCATGCCATCAGACAATGAGGTTTAGGTAGTTTGATGCTCACTTGCAAAGACTCCACCAGGCAACCCCCGCTGCAAGCAACGGCTTGTCCACATTCCATAAGGAGAAGGTTGCACATCACCGGATCAGGCTTGACGTTCTGAAACACGAACATGAGAGCCTGTGCTGATCTTCTCATCCCTCACCATCTCGATCATTAGTTCCAGCACTTCAAGGCCGCTACCCAGCACGTATCTCTGTGCTTCGTTTAGCGCAAAGAGTGCGGATGAGTAGGCCCAAGGGTCAGCGCAATGTTCCCTTCTTGCAGAGTCTAGCAGGTGAAGGATCTGCTCGTACACGCCTCCTCCAGCAGACAGCTCTGTGCAGGCTTCTAGCTGTAAAAGTCCGATCAGTCAAGGCCGCAGGAGGTGATGTCCACCAGAGCATTGCAAACAATCGCGTCCGGCGAGTGACCCATGTCGAGCATCGTCCGCATGCTACGGATTCCTTCTTGCAGAGGACCAGCGTTACCAGCGAAGACTTCGATGGCCTTGAAGAGAGGAGAGAAGTCGGTGTGGTCGAGAGGAATGGAATGGTTGTGCATGGCCGAGATAGTCTCAAGGGCAATGTCCAAAGCCTCACATCGAACAGAGTTGATGGCACAAGATGCCACCAGAGATGAGAGATGCTGCAGAGTTTTCTTTTTCTTCAACATCAATTGCTGTTCATGATCTGTGTGCTTGGCGTGTCCTGGAGAGAAATTCAACAAGGGATGCAAGGGCAGTTGGTTACCTGTTATAGAGCCGATGCAGGCGTTGATAACAGCGCGATAGGCAGACTTGCTTAGCTTGACGCCACAAGACTTCATGACATTGAGAGTCTCGAAGGCCTGACGCAGCGACTCTGTTACCACAGCGTCGGACGTGCAGACGTCCAGCAAAGAGTCGAAGGCTCGCTCGACGCTCAAACGAGTTGAGTTACTCAGGCTCCGCACGCTTTTGGTCTGCGACTTGAGCTTGTCCAGGGAGATTCTCGTCACCGAGTGTCTCGGTGGGGTTTCTAGCAGACCTCCAAGGGGAGCATACCTGCGACTTTCCCTCGACAACTTAGACACGCCCGAGGGGAACGAAGGCGACAGGAGGCAAAAGAGGACGGAAGACAAGAGAGCAGCCCGCATGTGCAGCATATCCTACAGGCTGGAATCGATGTCTTTCATCGTCAAGGTTGTTGTGCAGTCCCCTCCCCTCTCTTCGCCATCGCACACTTTCTGTGTGCCCACTGTAACTAGCAGGGGCCCGGCGCTGCCCGGGGCCATACTATACTGAGACACTAGGCTGAGACAAAGCTTTCACTAAAGAAATCATTCACCACAACTAGGCTTTAAACCACGGCGTACCGTATCTCAAGTCCCAACCGTTGAACTCAGTCAAGAGTCAAGTTAAGCTTGACGAACAAAGTTTCACGTCGAACCACAGCGGCCTTCCGATCATGAGTCATGAAGAGTCTTCGACTCAGCGCAAAGTTGCCCGCCGTTGTCATGATGGTGAACTGAACCATCACTCGGAATCGTTGAAGTTGTTCAGTGCCTATGACCAGTACCCCCTTCTACCCAGACTTGCTTCAACTTGAGTTCTATCTTGATCCCGAGTTCCGAATCCAAACAGCGTTCTTCGCGATGATCACAGCCTTGGCTTCACGCCTTGTACTCGTCCATGAACTCTTTCATCGAAATCTTCCCGTCCATGTCAACGTCTGCTTGCGACAAAAGCTGCAGAAAAAAAAATCCATCAACGAGGCTCACACTCACAGTGTCACTTGACCTCCTCTACATCCAACCCGCTCTTTTCAAGCTCCTCCTGCAAAAGCAAGTTCGTTAAGACATTTGTGCAACAAGGCAGGCTAGGAGGAACCTTGGTGAGGAAACCATCGTTGTCCAGGTCAAGCAACTTGAATTTCTGCCTCTTTTCGTAGATGCTTGCTCCCACCCCAGTGCCCAGGAGCCCGATCACGACAGACTGCTTGCTTGTCAAAGATGATACGAGGAGGGAGGAGCAGGAGAAATGAGGACAAAAGAGAAGAAACGGGCCAAGCCGGAAGGAACAAGAAAAGATGCTCATGCTACCAGGGAAGCTTGCTCTGGAAGCTCAAACCCGAAATACTCGCCAACCTTGACAAGCAAAGTGAGCATACTTCATGGCATGCAAGAGCAACACACCAACTTTAGACCCACAAAGCCCAGCACAGCTCCAACTGCAGTCTCAAGATACTTCAAGTCCTTGGCCTGCAAAAGCTTGAGTGCAACTAACGGTCATTCAGTGCATATCTCACTAGCTGCGCCAGTACTTGATACAATGCCCTCAAACTGAAGGAGACATGGCTGAGTAGGCAGCCTCAGGAAAGAAACTTCTCGGATCACCTCATGATTGCAAAGATATTGGAAGTCAACACTATAAGAGGATCTTCGGTGACTCCAAAGACAGCAGGTATCGAGTCGACCGCAAACATCACATCGCTACGATCGAAGTCAATGCATGAATCGCATAACCGCAGCATAAACTCAAATACTATTGCTGCTGCTGCTGCTGCTGAAATACCTGAATTCGACACAGAGAAGAACCAGGAACAATGGGGTCGCTTTCTTCACACCTTTCATCACCCGTCAAGAGCGCAAGACGAAAAATCTGGTTACCATCAACAAGCGTGAAAAATCTATCGCCGTCATATTCCGGGGTAGATTGGACAAGTTTGCTCGCAAACTGAATTCCATGATCTCATCTCACGCCTTCCCGATGTCCGAAATGGCTTACCTTCACGATCGAGTTCTCGCTGATATCTGCTTCATCTCCTTCCTCTTCTTTTCCTGTTGCATCTCTTCACTACTTTGGCGATACTTCAATTTCCGCACTTCTCTCATCGATCTCTCTCTCTCTCTCTCTCTCTCTCTCTCTCTCTCTCTCTCTCTCTCTGTCAGTCTCTCTCGCTCTCATTCGCTCTCGCTCTCTGTCTCTCTGTCTCTCTGTCTCTCTCTCTCTCTCATTCGCTCTCGCTCTCTCGTAGAGTCTTTCCTCGTTGCTTCCTGTCCATCGCTTGGGGCTTACCGGTGAGCATCTTGAAGGAAGAATACATCAGAAGTCCAGCAAACACCAAGAGAACTCCACGAAACTGCTGGATTGCAACTAGACCTGTGGAAGGAGGGCGGGAACGAACAAGTCAAGCAGAGACAGCAACAAGGGGGGAAACCTGCTGAGATGAATCCAGCCCTCATCACGATAGCGCCCTGTTTGAAACTCAGATACATCAAATCCTGACCTGTGTCGTTACCCATATTCCATAGGATAAAACTTTTTTTTGTTGTGATTGAGGAACTTTGAAATACTGTGGAAGCAATGAGTCAAAGAAACATGAAAACGCACTACTCTTTTACCTCGAAGAGAAGGAGAAATACAAACAAGTTATCGACAGACAAAGATTCCTCTACAAAGGAAGATCACACAAGAAAAGTAAATCAGAGATTTGTGTACCCAAAAGATACCCAGTGAAGTATTCAAGTGCCTTGTCTCCACCAAGAAAATTCCAGATACCAATCTGACAGGGAAATGAGCGATTGCAAGCATATGGTGAGAATTTTGCTACCCCGAACGCGGAAGCAAGAGAAACGGCGATGGCAGTGTCTCTCAATGCAGTCTAACAATCTTGTCATGTTAAATAAAATCGCCTACTACCTTGCCTTGTACGCTGCCGATGACTTGCCACTCCCGGAATTCGCTGCACCAGACGTAATCATGAATATAACGGCATCAAATGGGAACAGAGATCATATCATCACAGAAATGAATACGATACACGTTCAAAAACATGCAATATGGAAGGATGTCGCTCTAGACCTTTTGTCTTGTCCACTTGCATCCTCAAAGCACTCATGGCACGGCAACGATGCTTCGAGAGCGATGGCGATGCTGTACAAGTGCGAGCAGAGGATGCCAGGAAAGATGACGATTTCAGTTCCATGGCTGCTCAAAAAACACTCAGACCGAATCAAAGGCAAACTTGAGACTTCACCTGGCCGAATCAGTTTCATCGAAGGAGTGAGGAAGCATGCTGAGGGCGCGACAAGGTTTAGAACAAGTGCCAGGCGAACTATTCCTGGCATCTTCAAGTCTGTATCATCATGTCATATGAGAGTCTCACGCCTCTCAACCATCAAAGCGATAGATGATAATCACAATAACATTGTTGTGTTTTCCTACACCACAATATATGCTCACGCTTGTATGTGTGTACTTCTACTTCAAGTATGGTCACTCCTAATTCTGCTCTACAAACTTGCATTGAACCTGGTGCTCTGCAAGACCTTAATCCCCATCAGAATCTAGTTGATCTTCGACCTCCTTACACGCACGACTTCTTAGCTGAACGTTCAGGTACGCATGTTCCATTGTATCCCTCCAGAGGCCCTGGAGCCTTTTCAAGTAATCCCTCACCGCTCTCATCACACAAGTTTCGGAATAGATGCACCCACAACATCCTTGCTCTTCAAGTCTGTTTCAACAGACGATCTGATCCTCTCACGCTCGTTCTTCTCTGCCCTCTCCCCCTCCCTTCCCTCCTCCCTCACGGTCTCATGGTCCTGCTTCCTTCACGTCAACTTCCTGCAGGAACAGCCAGCATCATAAACTTTAGTCACCTCATGTTTTTTTTCAAAATTACTAATAATATATATTTAGAAAATAATAAACGTGATTTATTTGGCTTTGTCGGTACTGTAAAAAATTTCTTTTATAGAGATTTTGTTTCGTTCTCATTATTTTTCACGATACCTTGACATAAGCAGAGGCCAGGGTCCTGGGCTTCTTTACTCAAAGTTAAGTTAAAAATCAGTACGAGGACACTTATAAACATAGGGTAGGTAAGAGGTAGGGTAGGGTATTTGTGTGGGTAGGGTAGGCTACAAACATGAAAGGGTTGCCTGTCCCCACCCCCTCCCTCAAAATCTCCTAGGGGGGTTTCCAGGATCTGTTGCATTTAGGGCTGATAGATAAATTGGGGGTGGGGTGGTCTGGGCGGGCTTGACATCCGGGAAACCCAAAGTTGACTGGAGGAACATGGAAGGAAACGGGGAGGGTAGAGCGACGGAGGGGTACTTTAAGTAGCGGGGGATAGGGGCCTCACGAGACTCAACTTATCCCAGTCCTATCATCCCTATGACGCGCAGCATACCGTACGTCACTAGCCGCACCGCACGTACCTGTGGCAGGTACGGTCATGACTCATCAGTCGGATGCCGCGGTGGCACTGCACGGCTCCGCGGCTCGGACTGACCAGCCGCACTGCGGCAGTTGAAGTGCGGCCAGTGACTCGCGCGCCGGCCCGGGGCCCCCAGCGGTGGCCGGGCGGCCCGGCCGCCCGGCCGCCCGCCCGGCCCATCTCCGGCGGAGCGCTCGGCGAACTTCCGCCGGGGATCCGAATTGAACAGATGATGAGTCCGATCGGACCGTCGGACTCCCACCGTCACTCACTGGGCGACCGTACTTATCACTCTCACCTGGCAGCGCGGCACTGGGCATGCGGCTGGCCACCACCGGGTGCCGCGGCCCCGGGTCCGATCAGTGCCGGGCCGGGCGGCCGGGCGCGGCGCGCCACGGTGGCAGCGCCAGGCGTGACTCGGCTGACCGTGTGACTCGCGGCGAGCCGGGGGCCCGCCGGGGATCGGATTCAGCTGGCAATGGCATTGATTGTTAACGAGGTCCGGGTCCTCCGAGGCTCGGAGCGCCGCACTGGCCAGTCAAGCCAGTGAGCCGTTGGAAGGTATCCGTGACTGTAAGTTTGGGGGCCCACCGACCGCGGCACCGTCCGTCAGCGGCACAAGTTGACGGTACCGTACTGAAGGCAACTTGGCTTGCCGGCCGCGTGACAGGCCGAGCGCCGGGCCTGGTGACGTACGAGTCACACCGTGGCACTGACGGCCCCGACTTTGAAATTTGTTCCTTCCACGGAACTGCAGGGTCAACTGATTCTATGCGCACTACGGCAGCGCCAAGGCAAAGGAGATAAGGAGCCACGATCGCGACCCCAAGGAGCACAACGAGCAAGAATAGCAGAAGTTGCTGAAATACGTTGGTGAACTTTTCAAGGATGTTGAAAGGAGACATCGATGCAGGGAGGGAGGGAGGGAGGGAGGGAGGGAGGGAGGGAAGGGACTATCATCTCACGAGATTACTCTTCAAGATTCTCACTGAGTCAGGTAGCAGAAAAAGAAGAATGACTAAAGCAAATTATGATCAGGTAGTGAGTAGGATATGTGGGAAAGCATTGCAAAGTGCGGATTGGTTGTGTCTTTCCAACATTTTTTGTTCATGGATTGACCTTGATTCATTGCAGGATCCTTGATCTTGAACTAGTGAGCATCATGGAATATCGTTCGCGTCATTGTACCGGAGAGAATATGGATCCCAACCAAGAGGAGCCCGTGTCCCATGGCGGGTGTCCGACTGCCATGAATCTCGACGATGCAAGAATGAATGCTTACAGGCCTTGCAAACGATCCTACGCTCCTTGGGACACGTTCTTTCAGGAGGGCAACGCTACGAGAGAGGTTCTTGTCAAGAAGGGGCTGCGAGAGCTGGGGATGAAGAGTCTGCATGATGTGTGTGAGGAGATTCAATGTGGGATAGACGGATGTAGGTATGTGAGCTCGTCCATTGAGGAGTACGAGCGGCATTACGCTCACTCGCATGTTAACACCTGCTCCATCTGCAAGGCAAACTTTCGCACCTGCCGATTGTTGGGGCTGCATGTCCAGGAGACTCACGACAGCTTCTTTCGGGCGATGGCGAAGCGGGAGAACATGTACGAATGCCTGGTGGAAGGATGCGGCAAGAAGTTCAAGGGCGAGCTGCAGCGTCACTGGCACCTGGTCAATGTGCACAAGTATCCCAGAAGCTTGCGATTCAACGTGCAGGGAGCGAAGAAGAGAAAGGAAGGAAAGAAGAAACCTCAGGCCCACGAGAACATGGAGAGCGAGGACGCGCAAGGAGGAGAGCATGATGAGGAGATGGAGGATCTATGCTCTCATGTGCAGCGGATCAGCATTCCCTCTAGCATCTCCTTTGGTGCAAAACGTGAAGTAGCGTTCGAGAAAAGAAGATTCAATGACCGTCAAAAGAAGAAGGACAAGGAGAAGCGTAAGAAAGAAAGGAACCTGTCTGTCATGAATGAATGACAGAAGCTGCTCAAGACCAAATGATATCAAAGTTTACTTTCTCACTCAAGTGGAAGGCAAACACAGGAGCAACTTAGATATGAAGATGATATTGATTCGACATGTTCATGCACGTTTTCTGCCTGGAACTGCATGCTAGTTAAAGCTTGGCTGTCTTTCTTCCTTTCCCCCTCCCTGCCCGCCCATCATGGTCCGATGCTGTCTTCGCCATCTTTCATGGCCTCGCCTACTTCCAACTCTTCAAGTCTCCACCCTTGGCTTCAGCTTCCTCCTCCGCCCCCCCCTCCACCCCCGCTTCCACCTCCTCCCCTCCTCCCTCCCTTTCGGCCGCCTGGACAATAGAGTCGGGGCGCAACGCGAGGAAACCAGGATACGCGGGGGACCGGGGTCGGTGCGAGGGAGAGGCAGAGGTGGAGGGAGGGAGGATGCGAGATGGCGGGAGCGACACGTGTGACGAGAGAGGATGAGGGTAGGAAGACTCTCAGAATGAGAGGGAGGGAGGAAGCAAGAACAGCAAGCATGTCCCCACAGTCAGAGCAGAAACACAGGGGATCAACCGCAACAACGGCTTCCTCTGGAAACTTGGGAGGAAGAGATAGAAGAAGATCGTCAAAGAAAGCCATGAATCCGCTGGTGAAGGATTGTGCATAGCTCTCTTCTTGCGCTGACAAAGTGCCAGTGCGTTCCCCTCCTCCTCCTCCTACACTACTTGGTGATCCCCGAGAGCATCGATCTTGGACTCGAGCCCTATCACCGTGCGGTAGCGCGTCCTGGTCCTTGCTGGATCCCATGCTTCGTCTCGCTGAGGGGCGGAGGAAGACGCGGACATCAGGTGGGATGCGGCCGACCGCCTGCTCGCATCCTGACTGAGCTTGTCAGGACCGTGAGAAGAAAAGCGAAGAGAGACAAGAATCGTCCTCGTCCTCGTCCTCGTCCTCGTCCTCGTCCTCCTCTGATTCATCTGAAGAATATGATCCAAAGAAGACAAGCCAGCAATATCGCCAGCGTGGATGGGAAGCAGCGAGCAAACGGCTGGAGGTCACGAGCAAGTAGAAGCGATGAGGAGGAGGAAGAGGAGAAACTGACGGGACGCTACACAGAAAGAAGCGAAGTGATGAGATCAAAGCTGAAGATGTAGAGCAAGAGCAGGCGGAGGCAAACGCGCCTACCAAGAAGAAGAAGAAGAAAAGACAGCATGGCGCAGATCATTGTAAACTCAAGTAGAGCAGGAAGGTGTCTGACAGCCTTCAGGGATGGAGGAAGCAGAGGACGGAGATGCGACTGCTCAGTACGAGCTTGCTGTGTGTGTGCCCTTGCCGCTCCTCGGGAGGGATAACGACTACAACAGCTGTGCTTCTCTACTGGGAAAGGATGCCAACAGAATGAAAATCGATCTTCCTTCTGGTCGGTCTCCTATTGATTCGCAACTTTCTCTCATGTCTCTCTGACTGGCTCTCTGTTGCTTCCCCCCCCACCCCCTCCTCCTCTTCCTCCTTCCTCCTCCTCCTCCTCCTCCTCCTCCTCCTCCTCCTCCTCCTCCTCTTCCTCCTTCTTTCTCGCCCTCCCATACTTACTCTTCATTTGCTTTTTTTCTCTTCCGCCTTCCTTTCTGTCCCCGACCCTTTCAGGTTCGAGAAGGCGGCAAAACAAGGACATGTCAAAGCTTCTGTGAGTGAGGGAGATGCATGAAAGAAACAAAAGACAAAGATGGGAAGGAGCAGGAGCAGGAGCAGGAGCAGGAGCAGGAGCAGGAGCAGGAGCAGCAGCAGGAGCAGGAGCAGGAGCAGGAGCAGGAGCAGGAGCAGGAGCAGGAGCAGGAGCAGGAGCAGGAGCAGGAGCAGGAGTAAAAACGTTTGGTTGTGCAGAGGAGGAGAGCTGATGGGAATAAGAGAGCGGGAAGATAGATGATTTTGCTTCTGCAGTATGAATTTGGTCTCCGACTGTTCTCAGGCATCGGCGTGAAGAAGATAGACAAGGTGTGCATGCGAGAAGGGGAGGAGGAGAATTTATCTACATCAGGTCAAGGCCAGCGAGCTCTTCAAACACGCCGCGGAGGAGGGAGATGGTGAGGAAGGAAGGAGGGAGGGAGGGAGAGGATGGAAGATGAGAGACAAGGAGAGGAAGCGAAGGGATGGGATGCGACAGGGTCACTACTTGACTTTGACTGCATACAGTCGACGCATCTCTTGCTTATGGATGGTGTCTATTTAACGGCCTTGGATGTCCGCGGGTGCTCTGCTTCCAAAGCCCCCCTCCCCCCTCCCCTTCCTACTCCTCCTCCTCCTCCTCGCTGCCGCTTCTCAAGTTGCTTTTTCTTATGCTCTGTACCATTCTGCATCCTCCCTCCCTCCCTCCCTCCCTCCCTCCCTTCCTCCCTCCCATTTTTCTTTAGTATCCTCACACTTCTTGCTTGTTAGAACAAGGTGGAAGCGATCCGCGCCTACACGTTTGCTGCGAGCAGAGGCTCTGCAAAAGCCAATGTGATGAAACTGAAGCGAGAGGAGGAGGCTGACGCTTTTTTGCTTCTTACAGCGAAACCTTGCTATCATGTACGAGTCAGGCGATGGAGTACCTCAGGTCCTCCGTTCCTTCCTCTTCATTCTTCCTCCTAATTTCTGATCTACGCGACAGGATAACTCCAAGGCGATCCACTTCTTGAGAGAGGTTACTTCATTCCCCTCCTCACTTCTCCCCTCGACTGTTTTCCTCTTCTTCCATATCTCATTCTCATTCTCTTCCCTAAACCCTTCTCCTTCCTCCTCCTCCTCCTCCTCCTCCTCCTCCTCCTCCTCCTCCTCCTCCTCCTCCTCCTCGTCCTCGTCCTTTGACCATTTGAGTCTGCCTCCCTTCCTGTCGCCGACATTCTTTGTGTCCCCTCCTCTCTCTCTCTTTCTCTCTCATTCTTCTCGCAGGCCGTCAAGTTGGGAGATCGTCCGGCCCACACGATCCTAGGCCTCAAGTACTTCAAGGCCCAAGGAGTCGAGCGAGACCCCCAGGTCCCTCCCCCCCTCCCCTCCTCTCCTCCCCTCCACTTTCTCTCTGTCTTCTCCAGCTGATCCAGAGCTCGCCAGGCAGGACTTGAGCTGCTCCTGGAGGCATCGCGGATGGTGAGGGGGGGGGGGAGGGGGCTCAAGAGAGCGTGACATGTGCCGGAGGGGGATGCAGAGGCTCAGTTCAAGCTGGGAATTTTGTACTCCAACGCCTCCTACGGCCTGCCATCAGACCCTAAGAAGTCACTTGACTTCTTCCGCAAGGCGCAAACTTGATGAGCATCAAAACCTCATCTGACTAGGCCAGCAGGCTGCCAGCAAGGATCATCCCTTGGCTCAGTACAACCTTGCGATCTGCTGGCTCGACGGGCTCGGAAGTTTGACCAAGGCAAAGAGAGTGGGAGGGCGAGCAGCAGCAGCAGCAGCAGCAGCAGCAGCAGCAGCAGCAGCAGCAGCAGAAACAGCAGCAGCAGCAGCAGCAGCAGCAGCAGCAGCAAAGACAGTAGAATGATCTTTAAGTTTGACTGTGACAGCAGGATGAGGCGAAGGGGGTGTCCTGGCTCCGCAAGGCAGCAGACAACGGATGCGATCTAGTACTTGCTTCCCCTCCTCTTCTTTCGCTCCCTGACGCGCGTGTAGGCCATGGAGTCACTCGGCGAACTGTACGAGACAGGACGAGCAGTTGCCTGCAACAAGACAGCAGCTGAGGTGCTGTTTCCCTTCCTCTGAGCATCTTTCAGTGTCCTCGCAGGAATGGTACGAACGGGCCAGGCGAGCGAGCGAGGCTGAAGCGCGTTGAGGGGAGGAGAGAGGGGGAAGGGGAAGAGGAGAGGAAGATGGGAGAGGAGAGGGGCTGGAGTGATAGCAGGAGGCACCTCTTTATGATTCAACACTAGACTACAACAGCATCGACTATCGTACAGTATTTCTCGTTTGCTCATGGCGCTGACTCGCCGTGACCCAACGAGTCTTGATGGAGAGATCAACTGCTCAGGTCCAACAAAATCACGAGAGCTCGTGAGACAAGGAATGCACAGCTCACCTCTTGCTCGCCTTCGTGGTCCACTTGAAGATCAGCTCCTGCACATACGTCAACGTTGTCCTCCTTTCGCTCATCTTTCATTTTACCTCGAGTCGTTTGCGATCGACGGGTTTGCTGATGTAATCATCCATCCCCGCAGCGAGGCATTTCTCTCGGTCCCCCTGCTCCCCGTCAAAAGTCCCGCATCTCCTGCCGCCTTCTTCACCTTCATGGCGTTCGCCGTCACCGCAATGATGGGCGTCTTCTGGTTGGGCCCTTCCTTCTGTCGGATCTTGGAAGACGCCTGAAGCAAAACGAGCCTCATCCTCCCTCCCCACTCCCCCCTTCTCTTCCTTTCAACCCCCCTCCCCACTTCTCTTCCTTTCCCTCCCCCGCTCCCATCTCGAGTCCAACCGTATCACCATCACCACAAGTCAACTCGTACCTGCCAGCCGTCCATGATGGGCATGTTGCAATCCATGAGGATCACGTCATACTTGCGGGAGCCTGTGATATTGACGGCCTCCAGCCCGTTCTCAACAGCCTCCATCGTGTGTCCCTGCTTGATCAGCATCGCCTCCAGCAGCCTCCGGTTGGCCCAGTGGTCCTCAACTATCAGGATGTTTGCCTGCCATCTCCCGTCAGCCTCACCTGCCGCTCCTCCACATGCAGTCTTACCCCCTTCGCCTTGCCGTTGGCGACCTGGTTGACCTGAGCCAGCTCGAGGTTCTCATTCTCCTTCTGCTCTGGGGAAGTCACGTACTCCTCCATCAAGGAGACGATGGAAGCTTTGTCGAAGGGTTTGCGGATGATGTTGGTGAAGCCTCTCGACACAAACCTGAAGGAAACAAGAATGTTCAGATATGCAAACCATCAAGACTTGCGCAATACGTGCTCTCGTCGCTCTCAGAGGTAATGGCGAAGATGGGAAACTTTGATTTACGGCCTGAGTCCAGCAGCTGTCTGGTCTCTTGAAGCAAACCGAAGATTTCGTAATCCGCGTTAGACTCCATAAAGATGCAATCAATCCCGCCAATGTCCAGCAGCTTCATATAGTTCTCGGCTGACTCGACACATTCGCTCTTGAACTGCACATTACTGAGGATCTTCTTCAGCACAATCCTGTTAGCTCTATCTTTGCTGAGGATGAGAACCTTGGGGTCATTGCAAGGGCATGGGCTAGAAAAGGGTTTTGAGGGATTCAAGACCTCTGGAGCGCCTCCCCCAATGTCTTTCGTCCACTGTCGGATCTTAGCCGTTAAGGCTTCGCGCTTGACAGGTTTGGAGATGACGTCGGTCATGCCTGACTCGAAGCACTTGGTCTCATCATCCTTTGATGTGGCTCCAGTGACACCGATGATCACAACTCTCCTCTTGTCTGGAAACTTGCTCTCTTCCTTGCGGATGTCAACCGTTGCCTCCCAGCCTGTCTTGTTCGGCATGAACCCGTCCATCAGGACGACATCGTATGGAACCCTCAACACGGCTTTGACTGCTTGATCGCCGTCTTCTGCCACTTCGACATCAAAGCCTTCCTTCTGCAGCATCGCCTTCAAGACAGCACGTTGCCCATAGTCGTCATCGACAACCAGCACTCGCACTTGACGGTGCAAACCATTCTCTGAAGATTTTCCACACATTGCAGCATCAATAGAAGCGGAACGCCGTTGACGCATGATTCCTTGCATGGCCTCTGTGATTGATGACCTTTCCAGCGGCATGTTCAAACACACGTCAACACCGTCAGGCACCTCCTCGTTAGTGTTTGATTCTTTGCCGGAAAGTACTCCAACAACGAACAATTTCTGCAAGACAGTAAGGAGGAATTGCGAAGACATGAGAAACAAAGACCTTTGATATCGAGCAATTGTTTTCGATCTCGCGAATACGCCGCAAGGTTTCCAAGACTGGCTGGAGCTGGCAAACCCATAACAGTGAGCGTCTCAAGGTAAATTGCTGCTTCGTTTTCACCTTGTCGTTGCCTTTTGACAATTCTAGAAAGACGACGTCATGGTTCCACCCTTCCTTGGTTTGTTTGATGGAGCCAGAGAACTCTTCAGCTTTAGTAACGACTGTACATTTGTACCTGCGGCAGGCTCAGCATGAACACGGCAACCTTCCTGAACGTACATCTCTCTGGTTAGAATGGCTTTTGCGACCATCCTCTGGGAATCATTTGAGATCGCGATCAACAACTCTGCAAAGGATGTAAGTGGAGAATGCGGCAAAACAAGCAGAGGTTACTGAGCTCCGAAGGCTCTTCCGGGATGGTATCCATCTCACGCTGGCTGAGGCTTTTCGACGACATACCAAACTCCTCTTGTGAGCCCTCTTGAGATAGAACCTCGCAGAGCGTGGAGAGCCGGACAGGGCGACTGACGACTGAGCAGTTGGCAATCTTGCGGCAGTCCGAGGCTTGACTCAACTGCGTAAGGGGGCAGAGCAAGATGGTACGCACTGAAGAGTAATCTTGAGCCACGCGATTAAGGAAATTCCTTGACGAGTTCAAGTCATCCCCGTTCTTGACAATGTCAGGCGATGTCGCAAGGCTTAGTCCTTCGTCGTTCGACGCAGCAGGACAAATAATGACCACTTGGAACTGCTGGAGGTTGTTGGGCAGCTTGGCAGTGCTTTCAACGGCCGACACATTCACACCCAGGGCCTCCAACAATCGGAGAACAGAATTACGTAGAGTCTCATTCTTGGCAATAAGCAACGCGTTCATCACATGGCCTGAGGTGATGCAGTATGCCGGACGCTCATCCGGTCGACGTTGGAACATTGCGGTGAACCAAAAGAGAGATCCGACACCAGGAGTGCTGTGCACGCCCATGGAGCCATTCATGAGTTCAGCAAACTCTTTCGAGATTGCAAGTCCCAGCCCAGTTCCACCAAACTCGCGAGTTGTCGAAGAGTCGACTTGCGAAAAACGTCCAAACAATTTCTTCTGTCCTTTTTCTGAGATTCCGATGCCAGAATCATAGACTTTGAACCTGAAGGTAACGTGCGAATTGGTCACTTCTTCGGTTTCCACCAACACATAGACTTGACCATTCTTTGTGAATTTGATCGCATTAGAAAGCAGATTGAGCAATATCTGTCTCAGACGATCTGGATCTCCATTGACCGACGTTGAGTTGTCTGGGTCCAGAAACGAACAAATCTCAAGGCCTTTCTTCAAAGCTCTCGAAGCCACAGAGTCAACCGTATCCTCAAGCACTTGTCGCAAATCAAAGTTCATATTTGAGAGCTCCAGCTGCCCAGCTTCAATCTTTGTAAGATCCAGAATTTCATTGATAAGGAATAACAACGCTTCTGACGACGTCATGATCTGCTCTGTAAATTTTCGAGCTTCAGCAGAGAGTTTTGTATCCAAGATCAATTGGCACATGCCCATAATAACGTTCAAAGGCGTTCGCATCTCATGAGACATGTTCGCCAGGAATTGAGATTTTGCTTCATTGGCTGCCTGAGCTTGAGTGAACAAAGTCTCCTGGTTCATCAGCCTACGCATCTCGGTAATATCCTGCCCGACCCCGATCACTCCGATAATCTTTCCTGTCACGTCACGTCTCGAGGTCGCGTTCAGCAGCACCTCAACTCGTTGCTTATCCTTGGTGAAGAGAGGAAACTCGAAGTTCGCCGCCTCGCGACCCTGTAGAGCATTGTCTAGTACCGCTTTCACCGACGCCCGATACTCGTCCGTGATGTACACATCGACAAGGCTCTGCCCCATCACCTCCTCCCTCGAGAAGCCCGTGATCTCCGCCGCCTTGTTGTTCCACTCGTTCACAAGCCCGTTCGCGTCGATGCCGAAGATGGGAGCGTTCGCCGTGTCGATGAAAGTCTGCAGCTCCTGCGCCACTCGGGTCTTTTCAATCTCAACCTGCTTCCTCTCGGTGATGTCCTGCCCGACCCCAATGACTCCAATGACCCGCCCGCTCACGTCCCTTCGTGTCGTGGCGTTGAGCAGCACCTCCACTCTTCTTTTATCCTTCGTGTACAGGGGGAACTCGAAGTTCGCCGCCTCTTTTCCCTTGAGTGCATTGTCAAACACCTCTTTGACAGAAATCTGATACTCCTCAGTAATAAAGTCCTGAACCAAGTCTCGCCCAACAACTTCATCACTCGAGAAGCCCGTAATATCAGCTGCCTTGTTGTTCCATTCATTTACCCGTCCAAGAGCATCTATACCGAAGATGGGGGCGTTCGCCGTGTCGATGAAAGTCTGCAGCTCCTGCGCCACTCGGGTCTTTTCTTGCTCTGCTTGCTTCCTCTCGGTGATGTCCTGCCCGACCCCGATCACTCCAACAACGTTTCCATTGACGTCCCTTCGTGTCGTGGCGTTGAGCAGCACCTCCACCCTCCTCTCGTCCTTCGTGTACAGGGGGAACTCGAAGTTCGCCGCCTCGCGACCCTGTAGAGCGTTTTCTAGTACTTCAGTAACTGACGCCCGATACTCGTCCGTAATATACTCGTCAACCAGGCTCTGCCCCATCACCTCCTCCCTCGAGAAGCCAGTGATCTCCGCCGCCTTGTTGTTCCACTCGTTCACAAGCCCGTTCGCGTCGATGCCGAAGATGGGAGCGTTCGCCGTGTCGATGAAAGTCTGCAGCTCCTGCGCCACTCGGGTCATCTCTTCCTCCGCCCATTTCCTTTCGGTGATGTCCTGCCCGACCCCGATCACTCCAATCACACATCCACTGACGTCCCTTCGTGTCGTGGCGTTGAGCAGCACCTCCACCCTCCTTTCGTCCTTCGTGTACAGGGGGAACTCGAAGTTCGCCGCCTCGCGACCCTGTAGAGCGTTGTCTAGTACCGCTTTCACCGACGCCCGATACTCGTCTGTAATATACTCGTCAACCAGGCTCTGCCCCATCACCTCCTCCCTCGAGAAGCCAGTGATCTCCGCCGCCTTGTTGTTCCACTCGTTCACAAGCCCGTTCGCGTCGATACCGAAGATGGGGGCGTTCGCCGTGTCGATGAAAGTCTGCAGCTCCTGCGCCACTCGAGTCATCTCTTCCTCCGCCCATTTCCTTTCGGTGATGTCCTGCCCGACCCCGATCACTCCGACAACCCGCCCGCTCACGTCCCTTCGTGTCGTGGCGTTGAGCAGCACCTCCACCCTCCTCTCGTCCTTCGTGTACAGGGGGAACTCGAAGTTCGCCGCCTCGCGACCCTGTAGAGCGTTGTCTAGTACCGCTTTCACCGACGCCCGATACTCGTCCGTGATGTACACATCGACAAGGCTCTGCCCCATCACCTCCTCCCTCGAGAAGCCAGTGATCTCCGCCGCCTTGTTGTTCCACTCGTTCACAAGCCCGTTCGCGTCAATGCCGAAGATGGGGGCGTTCGCCGTGTCGATGAAAGTCTGCAGCTCCTGCGCCACTCGGGTCTTTTCAATCTCAACCTGCTTCCTCTCGGTGATGTCCTGCCCGACCCCGATCACTCCGACAACCCGCCCGCTCACGTCCCTTCGTGTCGTGGCGTTGAGCAGCACCTCCACCCTCCTCTCGTCCTTCGTGTACAGGGGGAACTCGAAGTTCGCCGCCTCGCGACCCTGTAGAGCGTTGTCTAGTACTTCAGTAACTGACGCCCGATACTCGTCCGTGATGTACTCGTCAACAAGGCTCTTTCCCATCACCTCCTCCCTCGAGAAGCCCGTGATCTCCGCCGCCTTGTTGTTCCACTCGTTCACAAGCCCGTTCGCGTCGATACCGAAGATGGGGGCGTTCGCCGTGTCAATGAAGGACTGTAATTCTTGAGCAACACGTATCTTTTCTTGTTCTGCTACGGTACGGTCCGTGACGTCTTGGGCTACACCGATCACACCAATAATAGCTCCATTAATATCTTTACGTGCAGTCACGTTCAAAAGCAAGTTGAGTTTGCGATTTTTTTGCGTATAGAAAGGAAACTCGAAATTTACCGTTTCCTTTCCTCTCAAGGCGTCATCGAGGACAGCTTGCAAACTGCTATGGTAGGCAACATCAATCAAATCTTCCACAAAGTTGCACCCTAGAACGTCATCACGAGAAAATCCAGTGATTTGAGCTGCCTTGTTATTCCATTCGTTCAAGTATCCCTCTACATCAATACCAAAGATCGGAGCATTCGCAGTGTCAATGAAGGATTGTAGCTCCTGAACAACTCGAGATTTCTCTTGCTCCACCTTCTTCCTCTCAGTGATATCTTGACCAACCGCGATGACTCCAATAACATTTCCACTAACGTCACGGTGGGGAGTGCAATTGAGCAACAAGTCTAAAAAATTTCCTTCTTTGCCCTGCAAAGGACACTCAAAATTTCCACTGACGATGCCATGGAGAGCATTCGTAAACACGATCTTCACGCTGGCTCTTGATGATTGTTTGACATATCCATCAAATAGTGGCTTACCAAGGACCTCATTTGTATCAAATCCTGTCAGCTCAGCGGCTTTGTCATTCCAATGACTGATGTCACCGTTTGAATCTATTCCAATGATCGGCGCTGTTGCTGTCTGGATGAAAGCTTCCCACTGTTTCGCAACCATTTCCTTTTCTTCTACAAGACGTTTCGCATCTTCAGTAGCCTTTTCCATCTGGTCTTGAAGTCTTTTTCGAGCTGTGATGTCTTGGGCAATGCCAAGGACTTCCACAATTTCGCCATGTTCACCCGTCCTGGGAGAGAAATTGATAAGCAAATCGATGTTCTCTCCATTGCCGGTCAATGTTGAGAATTCAAAGTCACGAGTTTCCTTACCCTCCCATGCTTCCTTGCACAGTTTGGTCAGCTGAATAAACAAGTGAGTGCGAGTGAAACACAACAGCAAATGGTTTTACATGCTCTTTGCTCACGGGGTCAAGTGGAAATGCTTCCAGGATGGGCTCACCAATAACTTGATATTTCTTGACTTTCATAATCTCCTCAGCTTTTGCATTAAACTGTACGATTGACAATTCTGCATTGAATCCGCAGATGGGAATATTTGCTGTGTTTATAAATTTTTGTAATGCATCCTCAGAGTCATGGTGAGAGCACATGTGGGAAGAGATGTTCTGCAGCTTCAAGCTGAGAATGTCCACTTGCTTCTGCAGAGCCTCTTTCTCTTCTGAGACCTGTTTCAGCCTATCTTCGTCTTGATCCAAGATGCCTTTGAGAAATGGAAACATTGCTTAATTCGTTTTCTCTGGCGTTTAGAATTTTACCATACCGACAACAATTACCTGAGAATCACTTGCACAATTCATCTGGCCGACCTTGTACCTACAAATAGTTAGCTACACAAGATTGTGAAACATCGCTGTCTTTCTATATGAAAATTGTTGGCTGTATGGCTATCTAAGGACGAACCCCTATTAGGTTAATGCAACGATCAGTGAGATCGTGTTCCAATCTTTATCAGCACTACTTGTAATGATGCAATTCATGTCAACCATCGCACTTGGAAAACATCAGATTGTCTAACTCATTCTCGTGCATATTCTCATGTTAAATTTAAAAGGCGAATGCATGCTAGGAGACGGACTAGAGCAGTCATAGTTTCGATGTGAAAGTGACCATAAACCTTCATCATGCCAACCTGCTACATTGTTCGAGAAGCACTCATGCATGCAAGGTGAGATGCTTCTACCGCCCATGACTCTCCTCTTTCCTGCCAAGCCCACGCCATTACCCTCTCTGCGCTCCTCATGCACAGCTACGCCATGCTCCCTCACATCTCCACCCAACTACCCGTGCTCTCAAGGTCAAATACGACCCTACCAGGAATGTTGTACCCCGTGTACCACCACCCAATTTGACACCACAGGTTTATCACGAGGGACCCCCTCCCTGGCGACCAGAAAGCACCTCCCTGCATGGTACTAGGCATTACCCCACCCCCCGATTATTCACACGATTTAAACGCAATCTCGAGATTAGTTGGTGACAGTACCCCCACACTTCCGGGTCCATCCTACTCCCTACCCCCACCTCAGACACAAATCTATAACCTCACCCTTCGATTGCCTCAAAGTTTCTTTTCTATGACCCCACCTATGGAGGGATTCTCGACGTATCCAATTGGAACCCCACCCCCTTGTAACTCAGATTCCCCTCTACCTCTTTTCCAAACGATCCATTTTACTTCACTACAATAGACCGCGTGACGTCGAGATATAGGGTAGGGGTGGGTGGTGGAAGATTCCGTGAATATTAAGGACCTGGTCATTTCAGAAGAGAACTTGGGATCTCAGTTGAAGGGGTTCAACGGGTTGGGTATAGAATATTTGGGGGTGGTAACCGGGCACAGTGATGACAGCGACCTTGTGACTAGAGTACAGATAAGTGAAATCTCAGGATCAATCTCAAGTCGAGAGAAGTTGAGATTCGATCAGATTGCAGGGGTCGCAACGATTTGCTACTTTTACATTAGTTATTGATGATTTGTACCAGGAGGGGGCCAGTACAGATAGTTTTAGCTGTGGTAGTGATTAAAAACAATCTTTTTATTTTCAAGTTCAGCAAAACTCACTTTGAAAACTGGCATGGGTCGGTCCTCTCCTGATTGTCCTCGTACTGATTTTTAACTTAACTTTGAGTAAAGGGGTCGGTCCGTCTCGGACGGTCGGCCCGGGGGTACGACAGTGTGCACGGACTCGGACTCCGCCGGGCCGGGCGGCCCGGGGCGGCGCCCGGCCCGCCGGGATCAGGCCCCTCAGGGCCCGGACAGCAGTCGGCAGGATTGGGTTTGGTTCTCGCTGTCTTTCTCTTCTCGCCGTTTGGCCTGCACGGTGCGACAGTGTCCTGAGGGTCGGGCCTCCTCGACTCTCTCCTGATCAAGTTGTCCTTGTACTGATTTTTGAAGTAACTTAACTTTGAGTAAAGGGACTCAGTATCACCCGCCCCCGGCGGGGCACTTTGCGACGGCCGCGGCCCGGGTCACCGTTGCCAGTCAGGCTCCTCGGAAACTTGAAACTCACCGAACGGTCACTGGGGGGTGAAACGGTGACTGCAGTGCGGCCAGTCAACTTGCCAGTCACGGTCACAGGATCAGCCTGTAAGTGACTGAGTTACAAGCCGCCTTTGCCGACTGACTGAGAACTTCGGAACTACCCGGCGTAGTACCGTACGGGGTAATGCCACCGTCCGATCGGACCGCAACCGTTGAACCCGCCGGGTAAGGCTCCCGCGGCTGAGTGTCCGTGCGGCCACTCACTGGCCCGTGACGGACGGTCACTGATGCCACGGTGTCACTGCCGCACAAACGTTCAAGCCTGTTTGGAACTGCCCGGCCGCTCAGGCTCGGAACTTCCGAACCATCCGGTGCCAACATCCGATCATGTTGATCGCGGGGCGCCCGGCGGCGCCCGGCCGTGGGGGCGGCACCGTTGCGGCCGCGGCGCCGGCCCCCGGGCTGTCCGATCGGAGCTCCGCGGCCCGGGCCCGGCCGGCGGCCGTGTGAGGCTGAGGCCGGGCCACACACTGCCTGGGCCAGCCCCGCGCCCCCGCGGCCCGGGCGGCGCACCGGGCCGCGCCGCACCGCAGTTGAACTTCTGAACTTCGTCGGAACCGTTCGGCGGTCACGGTAGCCACGTTGTACGGTCACGAGGCCCGGGCCGATCCGGGCAGGCCCGGCCGGGCCGCCCGGCCGCGGCAGCCTGGCCGGCGCCGGTCACTGCACGGGGGACTCGGGGATGAGGCCGGCAGCTGGAGGGGCAAGAAAAGCGCGCGAAACTGCTCTGATGCAAGAACCGGGGGAAGGAGTAGAGGAGAAGCGAAGCAGAGGAGAGAACGGGTGAGAGATGCAAGCACGAGCTGGGAGCAGAGAGTAGAAGGAAGTTGATCGGACGTAGATGGTTGTCTCCTGCCTTGCTGTAGAACATCAGAGAGGCTCCCGTGCAGGCAACGAACAGACATGCGTCATGACGACTTGACGTGACGTGCTTTGCACAGAGAATGGATCAACCGGAGAAGCCAGACAACTCCTTGCTGGAGAAGGCGGCGGGGCTGCTGCAGCAGAAGAAGTGTTCTGAGGTAGTTGGTTTGCGACAAACGTTAGGCTATGACAGCCTCGGCAGGCTGTCGATATTCTCAGCTCCTTGCTGCAAGACTTTGTTGCTTACTATGGCGACCTTGCGCTGGAATGCGCTCCTGTTTACCTGAAGGTTTGAAGGATGCAGAGACGACTGTGGAGAAATCTGAAGTCGCTCCTCCAGTATGGCACAGCTCTCCTGAGAGAAGTCGAAGACAAGGAAGAGAACGCGGGAGGACAAGACGTCTTCGGCGCGTCTGTTCCGAAAGAAGTCTGTACGGGTGCGGCGAAACAAGACGGCGAAGGAAATTCCCTGCAGGAGGGAGCAGAAGGAGACGGTGAGGAGGAGGAGGAGGGAGAGGACGAAGCAAAGGGCGAGGAAGAAGGCGACGCTCCCGAGACTTCTAAGGGAGAGGAAGGAGCTCAAGAGCCGCTAGAAGATCCTCTGCAACTCGCTTGGGAGGTAGGACTTGTATGCTGACCTTGAGATGGTGCATGCTGACATTGACATGTCAAGGTGCTCGATTGTGCACGCACCATATTTGAAAAGCATGATGGCGACAAGCTTCTGCTGGCTGACACGTGACTCCTGCCTCGTGCTGCTGCTCGCTGTGTTGATGGATGCCATGCTGCAGGTATAGCTTTCTCGGCGATGTGAACCTCCGCAACGAGCAATTCGAGCTCGCGTTCTCCGATTTCCAACGATGCCTGGACATCCGCAAAGAGGTTCCCGTCCTCTTCGTCGTCCTCTTCGTCGTCCTCTTCCTCATCCTCATCCTCTTCCTCTTCCTCGTCGTCTTCCTTGTTGTCGTCCTCGTCATACTTGTCCTTGTCCTAGCTGTATGCTTTTTGCTACCCTGATACCCTCCACAGGTCTGCTTGTCTGACGACCGGCTCTTTGTGGAGATCTACTACAACCTTGGCATGTGCCTGATGATTCAATCCACTAACAACAGACCCCAAGCGATGGAGTTCTATCGCAAAGCCATCGACATCTGCGAGCTCCGGATCAAGAATATGAAGACGATGTCGGAAGGGGGCAGCCTGGAGGGCAGCAGCGTTTCATCCATGACCCGGTCGAAGCTCGAGAGCGAGATCAACGAGCTGGAGGCCATTGCCGAGGATCTCCGTCAGACCGTCGAGTCGGAGGAGCTTCAGGTGGAGCCGGCAGCAGCATCCGGGCAAGGGAGCTCCAAGGACATGTTTGGAGGAGACGCGCTGAAGGAGTTGAGCGGGCAGAAGGAGGAGCAGGACGCGAAGGGCTTCGCTAAAGTTGAGAGCTGTGAGCCCGTCAAAGTCCTCGGAGTCTTCGGCAAGAAGCGAGCAGCGAGTCAGTCGGAGGAGCAGGGGCCCAGCAAGAAGGCTGCTCTCTCCCCCATCGAGGATCAGCCCAAGCAGCCCATCACGGTGGAAGGAGACGCGTCAGCTGCTCCGACACCAGCCCGCGCGCACTGAAGGGCAGCATGCCCCGACAGACATGAAGAGGAAGGGACAGCATCACCCTCCCTCCTCTCCTCCCTTGTGTATAAACTTATGCAAAGTTGATGAAGTGTAATGGGAATCCTTCTCCTCCTCCTCATGATCATCCTACTCGGCGAGGAGCCCTCTTCCTCGTTGTCCTTCCTCCCCCTCTCCTCCTCCTCCTCCTCCTCCTCCTCCTCCAGGATCCTAGTCTTCAGTTTCTGCTGCTTCCTCCTCCTGCAAAGATGGTCAGACAAGAAGAAAGACTGCAACGGGGAAAGAGGCAGGAAGCAGGAGAGGGGCACGAGAG